TAGAAAATTGGAAATTCTGTGCATTTTGTAATCCGGTGGTGCCGCCATTGATTCCAAAATCAACCAACCAAGCCTTCAATTTCACCTCATGTTGGCCACAAAAAATCTTTTCTGTAGCAACATGTGAAATCGAAGGCTTGTTGGTTGAATTTTGAAATCAATGGTGGCACCATCGGATTAGAAAACGCACTAAATTTCCAAAAATTTCCAAACATTCTTTTGGACTTCAACCCATGTATAGCCTGCATAATGCAGGCCATACACGGGTCAAATTCTGAACTGATTTTCTTTAGAAAATTGGAACTTCCGTGCACTTTGTAATCCAATGGCGCCACCATTGATTCCAAAATTCAACCAACCAAGCCTTCAATTTCACCTCATGTTGCTACAGAAAATAATTTTTGTGACCAAGAATTTCTTTTCTTTCCAGGTCACAGCTCAACGCTCATTTCTTTTTCGTTTATATTCCTCACACGATTCTCCCATCATTAATTTGCAATTCGTTCATTTTTCAAAAATTTGCTAACACGCTCAATCACTCAAATTCAATGGTCACATGAAAATCGGCAATTTCTGTGTCCCACTAATTCGAACAAAAATTCTTAGAAAAGATTTTCGAAAGAAAATTATTTTGGAGTTTGACCCGTGGATGGCCGACTTTAGTCCCAAGCGGGAAGCCGTAGTCTCTGTATGGTAGATCCAGGTGTGTGAATTCACTTCTATAATGGCTGCAGCTGGATACTGTCATGGAAATTTTGTATTTACAGGTTGAACTTTAAATGTGTCATATATTAGTGTTATTCATATGTCTCTCGTGTGGCTTAATTAAAGCTCTGAAGGCTGCAATTGGGCCATGCGCATGTACAATGTATGTATTACAGTACTCAGCACGGTAATGGATGAGATGGCAGATCTGCACTTATAGACCGGCGTGTATACCACCACGGCATTCGATGCGAATGCCGCCGGCGGTAGGCCGCGGGCCTCTATCCACATATCAGCAGCATAGTACCACATGGACTTCGTATCGCCAGGCGCCAGGCAGTGCGAAATCCGTGTGTAGGCTCATGTATATGTTACAAGCCATTACCGACCTGAACTTTATCTGGATGGATGTGTTTTAATAAAGATCGTATCGGGCCCATTCAGATACAGACTGACACTGTTTAATCTAGGGGATGCTTGTACAGAGAATGGACACACTACTAGGAGCTGATAGGATATGGGAAGTTTACTCTCCTCAGAGAGCTCACCATGGGAAAGGGGGGGGGGAGAACTGGTTTCCAGTATAGATAAAAGGAAAGGCTATGCTCCAATCAGGATGTACATTCTGTGTATAGACACTCCCCATGCATTGTTCTGTGGGAGGGGATTGACCTGACTCATGTGGGGGGCATGTGTGTGTTTGTATTAAAACCGGAGGTTGAGAATGGAAACGGTCTCTATGTGAATTCCAACAGCAACCTGAGAGTGTCGTGTGATCATTCCTGGGTAACTGGAGCTTCATTTTCCCCACATCTCGAGATAGCTAAACCAGTTGGAGGCGCAGGAATCGTGGAGTTTAGCTGCAGTCGCGGTAAGCGAGATCGCACAGCTTTATGGGGGATTTCTGCGCATCCAACTGCGAGTACTCACGGTAAGGAGAAATTTGTTAAAAGCGAATTTCCAAGACAATACCTCTGTGCATTAAAACAATGAGCACACAGAAGGCGCCTTCTGTTTATTTATTATTATTATTATTATAACATTGACATAATGCTGCTGTGCCTTGGAATGTCAACTGACCACACGGGGTGACTCAAACCACACAAATCACACAGGAAGACTTCCTCTTGTCGCTTCTATTGTTTAAAGCCCTGACATATTTCAGATGCAGCTACTTGACTTGATGTAATTATCCAATAATGATTTACAAAATTGTTGAAAAAAAAAAAAATCAGTACGTTAAAATTCTTTTTCCCAACTCTATATAGGTAAAATTATAGTGGACCTCTACTTTTGTTGGATGGAATGGCAAAGCGGTAGAGGCTCTTCCCGGTTCCTTTTTACTGTCTGTGTCTCCAATGAGGCAAGACAGCTGAAGTTTCTATAAAAAAAAGAGAAGTGCTCCAAAAACTAAAAACCAAAAATTGACCAAAACATAAAATGAAATTCAAATCCAAATATGCAAAAAAAATGTGCAATACCTCCAAAGATTTAGTTTTTTGAAATCTAATCAATCAGTCATTAGATATGCATGTATATCAATCTGATACTAACCACGTATAGTGCATTGCAATCGCATCGAACATAAAAAGTGCACATGCATACAATACTGAAACAAATAAAGTGCGAGTGTGTCACCCACAAACTGTGTGCAGACCATAAAGTACTGTACCTCAATGTGCTCACATACACAAGGAAGAACTTGACAAGTCCATAAAATCCCAAGAGTTAAGTGTCCATATCATACAACACATCATGTAATCTTCACTGTGACTGATAGGTGTGCCCTCACCTGCTACGTTGGACCCCACCACTATATTAGAAGGTCAAACAACGCTTTTATGTATCTGCTCAAAACAGCCAGGTATTCCTTCCAAATAGAATCTTCCCACAGGACACTCAGAGGACAAAAGTAAAAGGGAGGCTTCATAGTGTAAAACTGCTTTGTTTTTATTAAAAATGTATCATAAAAATACACTCACAAGGCAGGAACCCAGGATGGTGCCCAAACTCCGCCTGGCGTGATGACGTCATTAAACTCTGACTGTGCCTGACGCGTTGCGTCCCTTCTAGACAATATATCTATATTAAAACTACATTGGAAGTGAGCCAAAGCTCTTCAATGCATGCTCCTATTCTGCTTCTCTTTTTGGAGAATTGGATCGGCTGGCTGAAAGTGGAAAATATGACGTATTTGTTTGCAGCACATCATTTCTACCTCATTTTAAATAACCGACATGGTCAGGCATGCATACAAGCACGTGGGGGCCACACAAACTACTGAGGACCATTCTGAGTTGCTGCAATGACATTTCAGCAAAATGGACTTGCCTGCTGCATCATTTTTCCCCTTTGATTTTTGGGGTGTCTTTGAAGTCAGTCCTCTGTAGGTCGATCATTTCCATCAAACGATGGGCCATCCTTACCTTCCTAACGCATCACCCCGTCCATGTCAGTATAGAGATCCAGCAGGAAATGTGTCCCCATTGAGATCTGATGGATTTCAAAGTGTCCCTTTCATTTTTTTGAGCCGTGTAGTTTGGAAAATCTTTTGCAAGTGCTATTTAGCATGTTGAAAGAGAACTTTAACCACTTGCCCCCCTTCCTGACAGGCCATTTTTTGCGATACTGAGCTGTGTTGCTTAAACTGACAATTGCGCTGTCATGCAACACTGTACATAAATTAAATTTATGTCATTTCTTTCCACAAATAGAGCTTTCTTTTTGTGGTATTTCATCACCTCTGCATTTTTTACTTTTTGCATTATACACAAAAACATACTTCATTTGTAACATTTCTACATTTTTCAGTGGCGTCACTAGGGTTGGTGTCACCTGGAGTGGTAAAACATGATGTCACAAGCCCCCTGTAAATAATGCGGTCAGTGCCGGCACGCCGATCTGTGCCATTCTGAGTTGCTGCAACGACATTTCAGCAAAATGGACTCGCCTGCGGCATCATTTTTCCCCTTTGATTTTCGGGGTGTCTTTGAATTCAGTCCTCTGTAGGTCGATCATTTTTTTCATTTCCATCACACGATGGGGCGTCCTTACCTTCCTAACACACATCACCCATCCATGTCAGTATAGAGATCCAGCAGGAGATTCCTCCCCATTGAGATCTGATGGGTTTTCAAAGTGTTCCTTTATTTTTTTTGAGCCGTGTATACAGTATATACAAATATACAACTCTTTTTATCCTGTTCACCGATGTTTGCTGTATTCAGCCCCTTTGGTCAGCATCACCCTGAATGCCGTCTGTTTCTGGACATGTATTATCTTCATTCACCCTCATTAGACGGATAGGAGGCAATGAAATGAGGATATCAGCATCTCCCGTCCTAAATATCGCCTACCAGCTGGGATCACACAGTAATGGATGTGGGAGCGCCTCTTCAGTTGTTGACCTGATACATAAACAGAATGAACTCAGAAGCTTCTTGTCTGAACGTCTGCCAAGTGGAGGGGAAGGTTCTCAGTGTTAGATATCAGTGATGTGTTGATGATTTTGCTCTGTCACTGCAGCAGGTTTATCTTGGCACGTGTACAAGGCCATTGCTTAAACTGTTACTAAACCCACAACACTACAATCAGTCTGTAGATGCAGCAAAGCATGCTGGTTATACTCACTGTAGAACCTAAGGGGCTAATCCTCTGCATTGTCTAAAAAGTCTTCTCTGATCCTCCCCTTCTTCCAGTGTCCCCCTCTTATCTCCTGATAAGACATATCGTGTGGAGACACTCTGTACATGCTCAGTTTGGTGTGTATTGCTAGATAGTTTTTTTTTTTTTTTGAGGGGGGAGTGCATGTGATCAGCACAGGGCCAATCAGTACTGTCCAGACAGAAGTCAGGGGATCTGCCTCCTCCAAGAGCAGAATAAAAACTCCACCTACAAGCTTTAAGCAGTGCTCTGATGGACACTGACAGAAGTCACAAGACTGTTATATACTACTGATGAGAAAAGATATTTAGCAGTTTATATTTACTGAAATAATTGCATTTCCATGTTCTGTGCACTGTGGGAGACCAGATATAGTGAATGCGGGGTCCAGGGAGAGCGGATATAGTGAATGCAGGGTCCGGGGAGAGCAGATATAGTGAATGCGGGGTCCGGGGAGAGCGGATATAGTGAATGCGGGGTCCGGAGAGAGAGGATATAGTGAATGTGGGGTCGGGGAGAGCGGATATAGTAATGCCGGGTCCGGGGAGAGCGGATATAGTGAATGCAGGGTCCGGGGAGAGCGGATATAGTGAATGCGGGGTCCGGGGAGAGCGGATATAGTGAATGCGGGGTCCGGGGAGAGCGAATATAGTGAATGCAGGGTCCTGGGAGAGCGGATATAGTGAATGCAGGGTCCGAGGAGAGCGGATATAGGGAATGCGGGCCGGGAGAGAGCGGATATAGTGAATGCGGGGTCCGGGGAGAGCGGATATAGTGAATGCAGGGTCCGGGGAGAGCGGATATAGTGAATGCAGGGTCCGGGGAGAGCGGATATAGTGAATGCAGGGTCCCGGGGAGAGCGAATATAGTGAATGCAGGGTCCGGGAGAGCAGATATAGTGAATGCGGGTCCGGGGAGAGCGGATATAGTGAATGCGGGGTCCGGGGAGAGCGGATATAGTGAATGCGGGGTCCGGGGAGAGGGGATATAGTGAATGCGGGGTCCGGGGAGAGCGGATTTAATGAATGCGGGGTCCGGGGAGAGCAGATATAGGAATGCAGGGTCCGGAGAGAGAGCAGAGTCCACCAGCAGAGCAGAGTATTTCAGGAGAGGAGTTATAGAGGAAGGAGCGGAGTCCTCCAGCAGTGCAGAGTATTTCAGGAGAGGAGAGTTATAGAGGAAGGAGCGGAGTCCTCCAACAAAGCAGAGTATTTCAGGAGAGGAGTTATAGAGGAAGGAGCGGAGTCCTCCAGCAGTGCAGAGTATTTCAGGAGAGGAGAGTTATAGAGGAAGGAGCGGAGTCCTCCAGCAGTGCAGAGTATTTCAGGAGAGGAGAGTTATAGAGGAAGGAGCAGAGTCCTCCAACAAGCAGAGTATTTCAGGAGAGGAGAGTTATAGAGGAAGGAGCGGAGTCCTCCAGCAGTGCAGAGTATTTCAGGAGAGGAGAGTTATAGAGGAAGGAGCAGAGTCCTCCAACAAAGCAGAGTATTTCAGGAGAGGAGTTATAGAGGAAGGAGCGGAGTCCTCCAACAAAGCAGAGTATTTCAGGAGAGGAGAGTTATAGAGGAAGGAGCGGAGTCCTCCGGCAGGGCAGAGTATTTCAGGAAAGGAGAGTTATAGAGGAAGGAGCGGAGTCCTCCGGCAGTGCAGAGTATTTCAGGAGAGGAGAGTTATAGAGGAAGGAGCGGAGTCCTCCAGTGTTTCTAAATAGAAGAAAAAACATACAAAACACATCTATAGGAAGGTAACTGAATACCACCAGACAGAATACTTTGTATCGATGTTATGCTGGGAGTCTATTATATTTTGGTTATCTTTATCTTCATCCAAAGGGGAATCATTGGCAGACATGTACGGTCACTATAATTGTGTCACCTGGATTAGAGGGAATTTTCCGAGAGTGAAAATAGTTTTTGGTAACAATATTATGACCCACAATATACAAACTCAGACTGACAGAACCCGATAGACCTGCTGCAAACTGCAACAGTGCGCTTCTGTACCATTCCTGTAACTGTCTCTGCTTATCAGGCGGAATCTGTGGATTTGCTGCCTATGCAGGTGATGACAATCAGTTCTGTTTAAATAAACATATTCAAATCTAATCTCTTTCTGTAAGCCCACGCAGTACTGGGGTGGATTTACTAAAGGCAAATAGACTGTGCACTTTACAAGGGAATTTGCACCAGAGTTTAGTAAATGACGGTAAGCTCTGCTGACTTCCATCATCCAACCGTGTGCAAGCAAAAAAGCATTTTTTCTTTCCTTGCACGTGATTGGGTATTCTTTTCAGAGTGAAGCTTCCCCTCATTTATTAAGCTCTGGAGTGCATAGAGAAATTCCTCAATGGGGACACAAACAGGGAATAGGTATTGTTTTTATCTGTTTTCATTAGTAGTTAACCCCTCGCCCTCCAGAGGATTTACCCCCCCCCTTCCTGACCAGGCCATTTTTTCAATACGGAGCTGCGTCACAATTGCGCGGTCATGCAGCGCTGCACCCAACTGAAATTTCTGTCCTTTTTTTCCCCACTAATAGAGATTTATTTCGGTGGTATTTGATCGCCTCTGTGATTTTTATGTTTTGTGCTATAAACAAAAAAATGCCAACAATTTTGAAAAAAAAAAACAATACTTTTGACTTTTTGCTATTAAACATGTCCTGTAAAAAAATTTTAAAAAATCTAATTTCGTCATAACTTTAGGCCAAAATGTATTCTGCTCCGTGTCTTTGCTAAAAAAAAAAAATCCCAATACGTGTAAATTAATTGGTTTATGTGAAGGTTATAGCATTTACAAATGGTGGTATATATACTGGGATTTTTTTTTTTTCAAGGTCCTGGAGTGGCCAAGCCAGTCTCCAGATCTCAACCCCATAGAAAACCTTTGGAGGGAGTAGAAAGTCCGTGTTGCCCAGCGGCAGCCCCAAAACATCACTGCTCTAGAGGAGATCTGCATGGAGGATGGGCCAACATACCAGCAACAGTGTGTGCCAACCTTGTGAAGACTTCCAGGAAACGTCTGACCTCTGTCATTGCCAGCAAAGGATATATAACAAAGTATTGAGATGAACTTTTGATATTGACCAAATACTTATTTTCCACCATAATTTGCAAATAAATTCTTTCCAAATCAGCCAATGTGATTGTCTGGATTTTTTTCCTCATTTTGTCTCTCATAGTTGAGGTCTACCTATGATGCCAATTACAGGCCTCTCTCATCTCTTTAAGTGGGAGAACTTGCACAATTGGTGGCTGACTAAATACTTTTTTGCCCCACTGTATGTCTCTGCCCCATCGGTAATGCTCGGAGATCGTCAGGTGCCAGCAGGGAATCACTGGCCGGGACCCAATGACTGACAGCCAGGGCCGCGAAAGGGGGGAGTAAATGGATGATAAAGGGGTGGGGAGGCACAACCAGTGCACAAATAGTGAGTGTGGGCCCCAGAGTCGAGTACCTCTTTAGAGTGGATGAGAGGTCCCCAAAGCACCATGCCGCTCGACTTAATGGGATATTGCTTTGAGATCAGGGGCGGACTGACAACTCTTGGGGCCCCCAGGCAATAGGAGATCATAGGGCCCCTGTGTCCTTGCCCAAACTCAAAAAGCCTATGAAAGAGGTACCAGAGACATCTCATGGGGCCCCTTACTGACCCCGGGCCCTCAATAGGGGATCATGGGGCCCCGGTGTCCTTGCCCAAACTCAAAAAAGCCTATGAAAAAGGTACCAGGGGCATCTCATGGGGCCCCCTACTGACCCCGGGCCCTCGGGCAGTGCCTGAGTTTCCAAATGGTCAGTCCGCCCCTGTTTGAGATTGTTCAATCCTCGGCCACAATTTGATGTCAATATGTCTGCACCAGTCTATGAGTCTACCTAGGTGCATTGCCTGGTAATATTTGTGGATATCTGGGACTGCCAGGCCCCTGTGGTGTTTGGGTAGAGTGAGTAGACGCCTTTGTAATCTAGGTCTCTTGCAGGCCCATGTAAAGTCAATAAGTAGGGCATTTGCTTGTTTGAAGAATTCCCTGGGTATACGGATCGGTAAGGCTTGAAAAAGATAAGTGAACTTTTGACGATATTACATCTGCCAAACCACGAGAATAGACCTTGGTGCCATGTAGAGAACAGGGTACATACTTTACCAAGTAGGTAAACAAAGTTTAGCGTATAAATTTGGCATAGACGTGGAGGAATATAGGTGCCTAAATAGTGAAGAGCTGAAGCAGTCCATTTGAAATTGAAGTTTGTTTTCAGGGTATCTATTTGGGGGTGGGGCATGGATACACCCATCACCTCTGATTTTAAAACATTCATTTTCAGATTGGAAAGGGAACCGTAGACCTCAAGTTCCTTGAAGAGATTAGGTATAGAGATAATCGGGTTGGTGAGCGAGAAAAGCATGTCATCCGAGTACACAGAGACTTTGTGTTGGGAATCTCCAATGCTTATACCAGTGATATCCAGGTTATGTCTAATCCTGCAAAGAAATGGTTCAAGAGGAAGAGCAAAGAGAAGAGGGGATAATGGACAGCTCTAGCGGGTACCATTTTGAGATGGAGAAAGGCTCAGAGAGAAGATCATTTGCTTTGACTTGTGCCGTCGGGGTCGAGTATACACTGCAAATCCACCTGGTCATCTTCTCTCCTATACCTACATGACACAGGACCATAAACATGAAGGGCCAAGCAACGCGGTCAAAACTTTTCTGCATCCATACCCAGGAACATACAAGGTGTCTTAGAAAGGTTGGCCACATGTATTAAATTGAGGACCTTGATGGTATTGTCACGAGCTTCCCGTGTCGGTATGAAGCCCACTTGGTCAAGATGAATCAGGTCAGGCAGATGTGGTTGAATACGAGTGGCCAAGATTTTCGTGAAGAACTTCAGGTTCACATTCAGTAAAGAAATGGGAGGATATCTACTACAAGATGAAGGGTCTTTTACTTCTTTGGGGATGATCGAAATGTGGGCTCTCAGCGTATCGGTAGGAAAGGCCGTTTCATTTTCCAAGACATTGAACAGTTGTGCCATATGTGGCTCTAAGAAAGCAGGAAAAGTTGATAGTGTCTGAGCATATAGCCGTCTGAGCCTGGAGCTTTTCCCGGCTTCATAGTGCCGATAGCCACTTGCAGTTCTTCCAGGGTAAAAGGTTTTTCTAGTTCCACGCGTATGTGTGCAGATAATTTGGGGAGACCTGAAGAGGAAATATATTCCTCGTTTGTACACGGGGGTGTCGGTCTACTGCTCAGGTTATATAAGGCTTGATAAAACTCCCAAAAGGAGGCCACAATCTAAGGCGGTAGGTGTATCTTCCTACCATCAGGGACCACCAGATGTGGAATACAGGACTGAGCGCATTGGTCTTACAGGGCTCTAGGTCTAGGCAACCGCATTTATCCCGATTCATAATAGCGTTCCCAGCAGGATTGTAACGCCGCTTTGGCTTTATATTGGTGAAGAGACGTGATTTGTCTGGGTAAGCTTAAAATTCCTTTTCCACAGATGCTGTAGGCAGTCGTTCATGTTGAGCCTCCAACGAGTGTATATCCGCTAGCAGTCTAGATAATTCAGCTTCACGGTCACGTTTACATCTCAAGCCATGTTTGATAAGGATCCCAATAATTACCATTTCATGAGCTCCCAGACTATTCCAGGGTCACTATCTGAAGTGGAATTCATTTGAAAGTAGAATTGGATCTCTTTGGTGACATCCTCGACCACTGACTAGTCTTGGAGGAGACTCTCACAGAGTCTCCAATGCCCCATATGGGGGAAGCATGTTTTGTCAAAGATATTCTCACCATTATCGGGGGAATGGTCCGACCATGTAATGTGTCCGATCTCAACCGCTACTACCGCAGATAGAAGACGATGGGGAACCAGAAAAAAATCGTTCACGAATACGCCTTATGCGGGAGTTAATAAATGGTGTAGTCCCTTTCATCAGGATGAAACAACCGCCAAGTAGTTGGAATTGATGGAAGATGCGTTTTCGGCCAATAGGGGTAATAAAAGAACCCCCATCTAAATGTCTACTTTTGGATCCAAAAGTAGGTTAAAGGCTCCTCCAAGGAGGAGTGTGCCCTCAGCAAAAGTCATGAGAGCCTCTATTGTGGCGCAGATTAACTGGTCATGATGGCTATTAGGTGCATAGACTGTAGCTAAGGTCAACCTAATTTCACCAATTGTGCCTTTGGGGATGGCGGGCTGCCTGTTTGGGGATGGCAGCCTGCCATCAACCAACAAAGGCAGACACACAGGACATTAATACTAGAGGTAAGTAACTCCAATACAGTGCACTAAGAACCAAGATGACATAAAACTAAGGGAGGTGGAGTGTAAACACATCAACAGTGATC